GCCAGTGATGACATACGGAACTGAGACGTGGTCCTTCACTGCTGGCCGGATGAGGAAGCTCAAGGTCGCTCAGCGAGCTATGGAGAGGGCTATGCTCGGAGTTTCTCTGCGTGATAAACTTAGGAATGAGGATATCCGCAGTAGAACCAGAGTAACCGACATAGCCCAACGGATTAGTAAGCTGAAGTGGCAATGGGCCGGCCATATAGCTCGAAGAACCGACAACCGATGGGGAAGAAATGTTATCGAGTGGCAGCCTCGTACCGGTAGGCGAAGTGTAGGGCGTCCCACGAGATGGAGTGACGACCTGGTAAGACATGCAGGAAGTCGATGGATGCAGGTGGCTCAGGACCGTGCTTTGTGGCATTTTTGGGGGAGGCCTATGTTCAGCAGTGGACTTGTGAAGGGCTGTAATGATGATGAATGATGATGTACCTATGTATCAAATTCGAATATTTTGTGTTTGTACAGCGATCTTTTTCAGCTGCTGCAGGCGATACAGCGACCACCCGCGATAGCGGCCGAGCGCCAACTATGGTTTCAGCGAAATTTTTGTACAACAAATCAAAACAGGCACTAAAAATAAAATAACCCTTATTGCAATCCATTACGATTCATCCGTATCAGCAAAATATGTCAAAAAATAAGCATCAGTTTTTATTTTTTTTACGACCATTTGTGACATTTTGATAAAAAGTAATCACCAGCATTTTTTATTGAATATGTCTGCCTACTTACAGTATTTTTAGAAATCTTAATATATGTTGATAATAGAACAAAAAAAATACTGAAACATGAGCCGGTATCGTTAATTTTGTAGAATATGGCTAGGGAAGATCCTTTTTACAATGTAAAAAACCATTATTTTCAACAAAAAAGTTACCACCATTTGAAGATAAAGAACCATTTTATACGTTGTAGTTATTAGTTATATTTGATTTGGTTTAGTTTTGTCACAAAATGTACCGAAAAACAGCATAATTTGGCCCGATTTGCAAACGCACCCTTAATAAAAGAGGTGTAATAAGAGTAAGGCAGCTATGGTCCCTAATTAGGGCGTCAGAGTGGACCTGGTTCGCCTCACTCCTTTAGTGCGCTTACTACCGTGCAGTGTAATAATACTTGGGGCAGTTAGAGTTAGAGCTCTTATGCGAGGTGCGAGATTACTCACCTGACATCTCTAAATATAATACATAATTTGCGTATTATACAGTAATTATTTTGTAGATACATCAAACATATTTTTCACTATAGGGTTAATTTCAAGGAAACCAAAAAATAATATAATTTTTTTGGATTCCTTGAAATTAATATTTTTCCGGTTTTCTTTGTGTTTTATCTATAGATAAAACACAAAAAAATTCAGTCCTCAAACTGGCCACTTAATTAAATTCTCGATAATTTTTTGTTTGTTTTGATAATTATGTTCTTATTTGTTTTGCTCCATGGTTGGTTTGATAATGTTAAAACTCCCTATATGAAAACTATTGTGTACTTCAATTTAGATCTTCTGAACCAATATTCTTTCTAACCGGAGTAAAAAAAATCTCTCTCATCTATTTCTTACGTGGTAGAGCTATGCTGCAGCTATATTAGTACTGGTATATTTGTAGCATGAATAATTCGACTCGACCGGGGAAGGACTATAAGCTCTCACAGAATACCAGCTTAACGCTGTTGTGTTTCGTATAGTGAATGTAGAGAACCGGAGTCGGTTTTTACTGGAAATGAGGCATTCCATTTTAGTCCTCACGGGTGACAACGCATCTGCATTTTGATTCGTAATCGAGAATAGATGTAGATGTCTATAGGCCACAACAACCACCTATGGGGTGAACTGTGTGCTCGTTTGTCACCCTTATCCTATTAAAAATCCTCTTTTCTCGTCTCAAGTCTTCTTAGATAGCTGCCTCTTTGCCTTATATTATATTTTTGCTTTTTTTTCTAAATATTTATTCACAACTTATTCCAAAATTGTGTATGGCTACGGGACTTTTTCAATTAATTTCTTCGTTTTGGTAATGTGTCATAATTTTTAATTAACGATTTATTCAGTCTTATAGGTATTTATTAGGAGTTGATTATGTGATTATTTATTAGGAGATTTATTACTATCGGTGGCTAGCTTGCCCGGCCCGGCTTGTTGTAAGTAAATAAGAAGTGTCTTTTGGTAAAACACTTGCAGGTGCAACTGTAAAAGTAATTAAATAAAAAGTACTTTTTTTTCAGAATATTTTCATACTGCAAACTCAGACGCAAAATGACCACAACAGCAAAAGTTGTTGAATTTTTCGACACGATGACAGCGTCAATGGCTACCCGGGTGGTGTGCAAAGAGGAAAGTAAGGACGAGCGGTTAAACAAAATTCACAACATCACACTTTTTAGATTGAAGCCATTAATAAAATTTAAAAAAAAATGGTTTTCGTAGATACCAGTATATTTATAATATGCTATACAAGTACGAAAACCTTTTAAATAAAACAAATTTTACGGATTTTATCGCGTATATTAACTTATTTTACATTCCCGACGTTTCAAGCACTTTACAGCACCCATGGTCACCATGGTCACCATGGGTGCTGTAAAGTCCTTGAAACGTCGGGAATGTAAAATAAGTTAATATATACTTATATATTATATACTTTACGGCACCCAAGGTCACCATGGTCATCATGGGTGCTGTAAAGTGCTTGAAACGTCGGGAATGTAAAATAAGTTAATATACGCGATAAAATCCGTAAAATTAGTTTTATTTAAATGTGTAGGGTTCGCGTAAATATAACAAATCTTTATACGAAAACCTTGACTTGTGCGAGTGCCATCCCAATGGATAACTCTTGAAAGTTTTATAGGTAGGGGAAGGAGGGGCAAGACGGGGTCCTTATCGTTTGGAGCCTAATAAAACGCAGATCTTTAAGTATTTTGAATATTTATTTATTTATAATTACTCTTACTCTTTATAATTACTCTTATGCAAAACTAGGCACAAGAGAGAACGATGAGCTGAAAGTAGGGAAATTTGGAATAGGGCAAGGGAACCCAAGGGGCCAGCAGCTGGCCGACTTCATGGAGAAAGAGGGATTCTTTATGATGAACTCTTTCTTCCAGAAGCGGCCCCACCGGAAGTGGACCTGGTCGAGCCCCGACGGTTCGACAAAAAATGAGATTGACTTCATTATGACGACCAGAGGACAACTGTTCAGTGATGTCTCCGTGATCGCGAGGGTGAAAACTGGTAGCGATCACCGAATGGTTAGAGGTACACTGAACCTAAACGTTAAGTTGGAGAGGTCTCGTCTAATGAAGTCAACGCTCTGTTCCAAAGTCCTGAAACCTTTCAGCTCGAGTTACAAAACCGTTTTGTAGTGCCTAGAAAACTGCAATGAAGTGGACGATATGAATGACAAGCTCGTGGAAACTGTCCATGCGGTCGGAGCTAAGTTCTGCAAGACCCACCGCAGAAGAACACAAAAACTCTCCGATCACACTCTTAATCTCATGGCTGTTAGACAGGAGATGAAGCTACATTCTTTAACAGATTTGACAGCATACAGGCAACTGAACAGACAGATCTCCAAATACATGCGGCGGGACTTACGCAACTTCAATACAGCTTGTATGGGCAGTTGTACACGTCATCATTGGAGCCACACGCAAGTGTGAGGAACGATCCAAGAGCGAGTCTTATCCGACACTATTCCGAAGATATCCCGGACGTCAGTCTGAGCGAGATTAGAATGGCTCTCCATTACCTTAAAAACGGCAAGGGCCCAGGCGAGGATGGAATTACAAAGGAGCTTCTGAAAGCGGGTGGAAAACCGGTACTTGAAGTCCTTCAGAAGCTCTTTAATTCCGTCCTCCATGGTGGCATTACACCGGAGGCGTGGAGCAGAAGTGCGGTGGTCTTGTTCTTCAAGAAAGGTGACAACGCTCTCTTGAAGAACTACAGACCGATTTCCCTTCTGAGCCGCGTCTACGTGCTGTTTTCGAGAGTCATTATGAATCGTCTCGCGCGCAGACTTGACGACTTCCAGCCTCCCGAACAAGCCGGTTTCCGAAAGGGCTTTAGCACCATAGACCACATACATACCCTTCGGCAAGTTGTACAGAAGTCCGAGGAGTACAATTTGCCACTATGCCTGGCCTATGTGGACTATGAGAAAGCCTTTGATTCCGTCGAAATTTGGGAGGAGTTACAGTCCCTTCAGCGGTGCCAAGTTGACTGTCGGTATATCGAAGTGCTGAAGTGTTTGTACAGTAAGGCTACGATGGCTATCCGAGTACAAAACCAGAGTACGAAACCTATCCAATTGCAAAAAGGTGTAAGACAGGGTGACGTTATATCCCCGAAACTCTTCACCGCTGCATTGGAAGACGTTTTCAAGTTTCTTGACTGGAAAGGGTACGGTATTAACATCAATGGCGAGTACATCACTCACCTTCGATTTGCCGACGATATAGTCCTTATGGCAGAATCGCTGGAGGATCTAAGCACAATGCTCAATGACCTCAATAGTGTCTCCCAACGGATAGGTCTTAAGATGAACATGGACAAAACAAAGATTATGTTCAATGTCCATGTCACACCTATGCCGGTAGTTGTTGGGAGCACTAAGCTCGAAGTTGTTGACGAGTATGTTTACCTGGGACAAATAGTTCGACTAGGTAAGTCCAAGTTCGACCGAGAGGTCAATCGACGGATTCAACTCGGCTGGGCAGCGTTCGGGAAACTACGACATATCTTCTCGTGCTTTGTGGCATTCCTTGGGGGAGGCCTATCTTCAGCAGTGGACTTATGAAAGGTTGTAATGATGATGATGATGATGAATTACTCTTACATAATCAGTCTTTGGAAATAAGGAACTTCAGAAACTTTACACGCAAAGAAAAAGAAAAAATTACCAATTTTGTCAAAAATGTCCAACACCCCATCTTGCCCCCTAGAGAGGGTAAGACGGGGTACCCTATTGGGCAGGATGGGGTATGGAAAACATACTCTAAATTTGATCGCAAAACTCGCAAACAAATATTGCCTCATCGTCCTCGTCATCTATTCCAGCACAGCTACAGTGTGCCCAATTCCCACAGAGAGAACATGCAGCCCATCCTTCATTAGAATCCAAGTATTTTCCATAGCAGTAAAAACAAGGGATATTATCTTCTTCGTTGTCACATTCTGGTGAGGAATTAGGATAATTGTTGGTTTTCTTCCTATTCTTTTTCTCAGCTAATTCGGGTTTCTTATTTTTTTTTGGTCTTACACCTGTCTTTTTTCTTTTTGTTATCTTCTGCCAGTTTCTTTTTTTTTTCATTGTTTCTTCTAACTCATTTTTATACGTGGAAGTAGTTATGATAGCCGTTTTACCTCGTTTCCTTGTCACGCGTGAAATTTTGCGAGTTACAGGATAAGGCATCACTTGCTGAGGACTAACAACAGAAAATACTGATGGTGGAGTAGTTGGCCTTTGATCTATTTCAATACTGTTCATCCAAGTGGAGCATCCTGGCTCAGGCTCTGCTTCAATCTCAGATGGTGTCATAACAATAGACATGCGGCATATCAGCGGTTCGTCAATTGCAGATATTGTTGGAACTGTTGCTCTGTTGCCCGACGTAGTGGTTTGTGGCAATGCTTCAGTGATGGATAATCTCTCTGTTTGTGGAATATCTGTCATCAATGATGGAGAAAAATCAGTATCGGAAAATACTGTTGGATCGTATGGCCAAAACTCACATTTTTTGAAGCCATTTACAGCCGTTGCCATAGTAAAAGTTTGAAGTTTGAAGTAAAGGCTTTACCAAAAATCTCTGCTACTTGCCGGACAGTTACCACCACCTGGATGGCTTCGAAGCCAGGCTGTGATTTGGTGGTCGTAGTATGTGCTCAAGGGTTTCATGTATGCTACATCAGCAACTTGAAGTCGATGACTCGTATGTGGAGGGAAGCAAAATATAATAACCCCGTTTGAACGAGTTTCATTAATGACGTCAAGGTTTTGTGTGTGAGTGCTGTGGCCATCTAACAACAACAGTACAGGTCGATCAACCGTTGCTCCACTAAATTCAACAAACTTCTTAAACCAGCCAAGGAATAATTCAGCTGTCATCCAGCCAGAATCGCTACACACATCCCAAAATCCAGGCGCAGCATTCAGCATTAGCTGAGGATCCATCCTCTTTCTTGGGAATACCATCATTGGAGGCATGTATTGGCCACTAGCACTAAAACATATTTCTATAGTTATTGTAGTACCTCTCTCCGCAGAAGTAATGGATCCCACTTGTTTTCTACTTTTTCGTGCAATTATTTTTGACTTGGTTTTAGGTACCACGGAAACTCCTGTTTCATCACAATTATATATTCTGTCCGGTGAAAGTTTATGCTCATCATAAACGTTGCCGAGAAAGTTGAAAAACTGTTCAACAGCTTGTTTATTAAACCCAGCGGCACGTGCAGCTGAAGTGTTTTTTGGTTTTTGTATCGACAATTCTGGATGCCTGCTTAAAAATCCCTGAACCCAATCTTTGCTAGCTTCTTTTTTTTTCAGAGTTAAAGAAATGTTGCTGCCCATTTTTTACTGCAAGAGTGTATGCCAAAGCCCTTAAATCTCTTGTTGAAGTCCGTAAAGACGACTCTCTATATCCATTATATAATTGCAAAGTTCTTTCTCTTCATCATCAGAAAATGTTCGCTTTTTTGGCCTAAAGGAACTTTCACTAAAGTTGTAGGAGCAGCAGGATCTTCTGGGGCTGCACGAGCTTTTTTAACTTTTCTTTCGAGGGTTGTTTGTGGCACAGAAAATGTTTTCGCCGCTAATTTGTACCCCATTTTTTCTTCACTTACAACATCTACTGTATTTTTCATACACTGTTCACTCCAATTCCCCCTCTCTGTCTTTCTTTTATAATTTTTCACCATCCTAAAACAAGATAAAACTCAAATAAGTTAAAAGGATCATAAAGTTTCATAGAGAAATCATAATTTTCTTCGAGAGGCAAGATGGGGCACCCCCATACCCCATTTTGCCCTCACACACTCATTTGAATAAAATAACATGCCTTAAAAAATAAAATCAAAATATGGGAACAAATATGTTCTAACCTGCTGGTGTAATCATTGATAAACAAGTATAACTTTCAATCAGTTCTAGACAACTAATGTTGAGGTACAGAACACATGCGATGTATAAGACGAAAATCACAATGAATTTGACTAGAACTGAGTTTTTGGCGGTAGGGAAAAAACACATGGACTCACTGGCCGGTCACAGCGCTGATTGATAAACATTAAACAATATAATAACGCGTCATTACGAGCCAGAGCGGCTGTGATTGGTTGTTCGTACGACCGATGAGACCCGTTACCCCGTCTTGCCCGCTACCCTATCTTGTCCCCCCTTCCAGGGTCTACAAATTATTATTTGAACAGTACCTATAATGTAGAATATTACTATCCAAGAAATATTAACCAAGGCCCATTAGAAATATATTTGCCTTTAAATTTTTGATATTATCTAACTTAGTTGGACGAACTTTTCTTATTTCTAATTGATTCGAAATTTTCTAATTTTGAAGAGAATTATGGAGACACATTATTAAATGTTAGTGTTCTTTTCAAAAATGTTCATAATAATACAGAAAATGACTCTGAAAACACTCTCAAAGTTTTACGAGATCTCCTATCCTCTTCACAAGCAAGTTCAAGAGAAAAGTTGCTGGTGGGTGATGTAGTCATGGAAAAAAAATAAAGAGCACTGCTCAGCTTACACTGCTGGATACATTTATCAGAAAATATCGAAAGCTATTCGTTATAAGGATTGCATAAAAACATAATATATTAACAGTACAGAGACAAATATTCACTCTTACATAAAATCTAGAGAGTATAAATTGTTAAAAATAATAATTTGATATACCTACCCTAACAAAAAAAAAATTATATTGTACAGGGATGGAATAAGTATTAAAATTATAGCTGTATTGGAAGTAATGTAAAAAGTAATTTCAAAAGAAAAATATTGAGCATATTTTTCTTTTGAAATTACTGAATTTTCCTGGCTAGGGTGTAAAAGCATCCCTTAATTGCAAAAAAAAAAACTTTTTCATCAATATTTTTATTAGGGCACAATTGGTGCAAAATCTTCTTATCTTATTTATATGTGTATATATAAGGCAAACCTGACTGACTCATCTATCAACGCACAGCCGAAACTACTGAACGGATTTCGCTGAAATTTGGCATAAAGACAGTTGTAATGACGTAGGCATAGAAAATTCGCCCCCTAAGGGGGTGAAAAAGGGGTTAAATATTTGTATGGAAGTCAGTCATTTTTAGAGCTAGAAACCTGAAACTTTGTTTTTAGGTTAACGATTAGAAATAAACAATTACGTGTCCTAGGGTTTTTGAAAATTCAACCCCTAAGGGGGTGAAAAAGGGGTTGAAAGTTTGTATGGGGAAACAAGATTAGTTAAACTATTTTATTCGAAACTTCACAGGAGTACTCCTATCAATAAATGAGTAAACAAGTGTTTCAGGCTCTTTCAGAATTCCATCCCTACGAGTAAAAGGTGGAAAAGGAGTGACAAATTCTGACAATCAACATGGGTATCGTTTTTATGGTTTATCGGGTCGCTGATTACGAAAACAACAATTATTTCAAAATCCAACGTAGCAGAATAATTTAACAACGTAGATTTACCTATAAACAGGATCTGATTGATTTTAATTTTTAAAATTTTCAAACTAAGTAAATACGAGTAAGTAGAAATGAGTAGAAACTTAAATCTCGCGACAAACTTATATAAAATATAAATTGTGTAATGACGTTATAAGTTGATAGTAAAAGTTTTAAAGGAATAGTTTATTTTATTCTTTTTAGCGCATTTAAATAACCTGCAACTTTACAAGGCGCAGGTTCGGCCTCACATGGAATACTGTTCACATCTCTGGGCTGAGGCTCCCCAGTACCAGCTCCTTCCACTTGACCGCATCCAGCGCAGAGCGGCTCGAATCGTCGACGACCGAGTCCTTACCGATCGGCTCGATTCACTGGCGCTGTGAAGAGATGTTGCATCGCTTTGCGTTTTCTTTCGCATTTACCACGGGGAGTGCTCTAAGGAATTGTTCGGATTAATCCCAGCCGCCAAATTTCATAAACGCACATCGCGGCAGAACTCCCGATACCATCCACACCATCTGGATGATTGGCGGTCCACCACTGTGGGATTTAGAAGATGTTTTCTTCCTCACACAACTTCCATGTGGAATCGATTACCACCAGCGATTTTTCCGGACCGATACGACAAAGGGACCTTCAAGAAAAGAGCTTACTCCTTTTTAAAAGCCCGGCAACGCACCTGCAATTCCCTTTGGTGTTGCAGTCGTTCATGAACGGCGGTAGTCACTTACCATCAGGTGAGCCGTATGCTCGTTTGCCCCGTCTCCTATAAAAAAAAATTAATATTGAACTCGGTTGTACAAAATTTTTAATTTCATTACTTGCCTCTCTTTCTCTCTTTTTAAAAAAGTTACCTCCACATTAGGATTTTCTCCTGTATAACGGGGGCAGTTTATATACATAGATTTCACAACGACAAACATCCTGACCCAGAAAAATTATTTGTAGGCCATAAAAATACTTGTTCCGTGCGGGATTCGAACCCGTGGCCCTTAGTGCTGCAACTCATTGCAAAGCCACTGCGCGACGGAGCCGTCACTTATCTGTTTCACATTTTTTGCTATTTAAAAACATGTGACACGTGACGGCATTATTATTGAAAGAGTGGCAATGAGAAGTGCTGCTATTTTATTTATTTATTTAGTCATTTTAGGAAGGCTTACAGACTAGTATCTTCGGTAAAGTTACAAAATGGTGATAATAATTGCTAATTACAAGCCTCCACATATTACTTTAATCCAATTTTATACAAATTTAAAATACTCTAGGGTATACTTAAACTACTCATAAAGAAAATAGCATAAACAAAAAAAAAATAGGCTAAAACAATAACAAGAAAAAAACCGCATAGTTTAACTTTCCATGAGACCAAGGAGCTTGCAACTTGAGTCATGCTGTGAGTGAAAAATTCTCTGTTCATCACATTTATTACAGATTTAGATTAGAACTAGTAGAAAATAGATCAATATCTACTACAGATGAAAGTTTATTAAATTCCATTGCGCTACGCAGAAAGAAGGAATTTCTTAGGTCTGTTAAGCTGAAATGGTCATTTGAGCAAAATCACTTAAATTTTTGCTAAATATTTAGTGCTCATTTAGTGCTAATTTAGTGCTCCAAATTTAAATTTCACGCCAAAATGGCTTGATCAAAAATTAGAAAACTGCTAGCTTTTAATTAAGCTAGCAGTGTTCCACCTATTAAAACGATAACCGCTTAATACAGCACCAAATAGAAGCATCAATAATTTAGTGCTCATTTAGTGCTGCCGATATACGCAAAAACAAATATGGGGAAAATATATATATTTTTTTAATATCATAAATTCTGTTACTTTGACGTCTTTAGCACAGTATGTAATGAAAAAATTGACATCAGAGTGGGCTATCACCTAATTATATAAGAGAATAAATTAGTGCTCATTTAGTGCTGTCGAATTACGAAAAAGGATTTGAGAAATTATTATTTTTAAATACCGTAAACTGCTACTTCGACATCTTTAGCAGAGTATGTGATGAAACAATAACATCCAAGTGAATTATCACTTAATGATATAAGATAATAAATTAGTCCTCGTTTAATTCTGTCGATATATGAAAGAGGATTTGAGAAATTATTATTTTTAAATACCGTAAACTGCTACCTTGGCATATTTAGTAGAGTGTGTACTGAAAAAATTAACATCGAAGTGAATTATCTCCTAATGATATAAGATAATAAATTAGAGCTCGTTTAGTGCCGTCGATATATGAAAAAGGAATTGAGATATAATTATTTTTAAATACCGTAAACTGCTATTTTGGCATATTTAGCAGCGTATGTACTGAAAAAATTGACATCTAAATTTCCAGAATCTTTTTTCGTATATCGACAGCACTAAATGAGCACTAATTTATTATCTAATATCATTATGTGATAGCCCACTCTGATGTCAATTTTTTCATTACATAATCTGCTAAAGATGTCAAAGTAGCAGAGTTTATGGAAATAAAAAGAAAATATTTTCCCAAGTTTTGTTTTTGCGTATATCGGCAGCACTCTACGAGCACTAAATTATTATCGTATATATAGGTTATATACTGTATAGGTGGTAGGTCATTAGGTGATAACTCACTTGGATGTCAATGTATCATCACATACTCTGCTAAAGATGTCAAAGTAGCAGTTAACGGTATTTAACAATAATAATTTCCCAAATCCTTTTCCGTATATCGACAGAACTAAATGAATACTAATTTATTATCTTATATCATTATGTGATAGCCCACTCTGATGTAATTTTTTTCATTATACTCTGCTAAAGATGTCAAATTAGCAGTTTATGACATTAAAAAAAACATATTTTCCCAAGTTTTGTTTTTGCGTATATCGGCAGCACTAAATGAGCACTAAATTATTATCTCATACCATTAGATGATAATCCACTTGGATGTCAAGTTTTTCTTTACATACTCTGCTAAAGATGTCAAAGTAGCAGAATTTATGATATTAAAAAATATATATATTTTCCCCATATTTGTTTTTGCGTATATCGGCAGCACTAAATGAGCACTAAATTATTATCTCATATCATTAGATGATAATCCACTTGGATGTCAATTTTTTCTTTACATACTCTGCTAAAGATGTCAAAGTAGCAGAATTTATGATATTAAAAAATATATATATTTTCCCCATATTTGTTTTTGCGTATATCGGCAGCACTAAATGAGTACTAAATTATTGATGCTTCTATTTGGTG